GTGGCGCACGGTAGCGCGTCTGACTCCAGATCAGAAGGTTATGTGTCCAAATCACATCGGGTTCATCGCAACTCTCTTTTACCTTTTTTTTTTTTTTTTTTTTCTCCAATCCCGCCGCCGGGTAGCTTCTCGTCCGTCCGGCGGACTGTGTCACGCCACTGTTGCGGAGACATTCAATCTTTAATTTCCTCCGAGCGTGGTTGGCAATAATGGATGTGGATTTGAACCCCTCGCCGATGCCAGGTGGTGTTGTCCGCGAATGTCCAGAAACGAGTACTCCGTACTGCTCTGTATATTATTTTATGATCAGTGCATCACCGGTGCCTGATATTGGAAGCGGGAAAATACCCGTTCCGACCTGATCGCATCTGGTCTTTTCCCCAGTTTCAAGTTCTCGGTTCCGGCCCTGAGATCTCGGCTTTGAACGACGAGAAATCAAGTTACCCCGTCGCACGCCTTGGCTCAATGGCAAGTTACTGCAAGTATTGAATCCTGCGTGGCCATTAGCATTTGCGCTCATGTTGATGCATTGGGTTTCCTTGCATGCATGTCCCGGTATGAATGTTTTGTTTTTTGCTTTTTCACTCGGCATGCTCGGGGCCGCCTGGCCGTTCCAAGACTTAGGATATAGCGCTGACCTGCTTATCTCCTCGTTGCCATTCTGATGTTATTAGGGGGATCATCTACGGCGACTCAAACGCCAATCCAGTTGAAGTTTGCATGGCCTGAGAAGTGTATGTGTGGGAGTTTGGGGGGGGGGGGGGGGGGGTTCTCTCATTTGGCAACAGAAATATTTCCAAGATGAGCTGGATCCCAGAAACGAATGTAACAATCAAGAGTCATCGGCTTTTCAGCGTGCAGGGCGGCCGCAGCCGGAGTAAACCATCGATTGCGGAGGGAGTCTTGGTCTACGCCAACGTGCCGGCGGAATTCTGACCGCCCCAATTAGCTGCGAAGAAGTATATATATTCGACTTTTTCGCCCGTGTTTTCTGTTTCGAATTGTTGGAAAATAACCCGTGCCCCAGTTATCCTGCGGCGTTGTTGGAAACAACCATGATAAAAATTATGGCTCGCCTGGGCCTGCTGTTCACGCTCCTCGGCCTGGGTCAGGCGTCGGATCCGCTAGACTCGGTGTGCCGCCCAAAGAATGTTTGCCCGAGGATTGGGGGACGGTATCCGGGGACGGTGTTTTACCCTGGGAGCAAAACGTATAATTTAGAGAATCATCGTAAGTGGTGTTCTTGGGGCTTGGACTCTCAGTTGCAGTGGCAGTGATCAACTTATTTTATGAGACGGTCAATATTGACGTGTGATGATTAGACTACTTCAATGCAGCGGCCGCCTCAAACCCACTTTGTGTATTTGTCCCGAGAAATACACATGAAGTCGCTGGTGCAGTTGAGATTCTTGCAGCATCACACACGGAGTTCGCCGTCAGGGGGGCTGGACACATGCCCATTCCTGGCTACGCGAATACAGATGGCGGCGTCTTGATCGCATTCACAAAGATGAAGCAGCTGCACCTTTGTGCGGACAAGTCATTTGTCTCCGTTGGTCCGGGGAACACCTGGCTGGATGTGTATCAATATCTCGAACCGCATGGGCTGGTGGCCCTGGGAGGGCGCGTGGGATCAGTTGGGGTCCCGGGACTGTTGCTCGGAGGCGGTGTTTCCTTTTATTCCAACCAGTATGGCTTTGCGGCAAACAACGTCGTCTCGTATGAAGTGAGTAAAGCATCCTTTCTTATATCGCGACATGTCGATGTCTGTGTTGGCGACTGCTGAAACATGACTCCCAAAGGTCGTCCTCGCCAACGGTGAAATCGTCCAAGCCACTGCCAAACAGAACAGCGATCTCTTCTGGGCCCTTAAAGGTGGCGGAAACAGTTTTGGCATCGTCACCCGCTTTGATCTTGTTACGTTTAACTCCCCCCAAACTTGCGGTGGCATTCTGGTGCATCAAGGCGCTCCACACCAGGAGTTCTCGAGAGCCATTTCACGCTTTGTACAGGATGGATCAAAAGATGCGAAAGCAGCGATAATCCCGACAATCACCATTATTCCTTCACAGGACGTCACGGCTTACATATCCTTCCTCTTTTATGACGGTGCTGAATGCGACCAACCGGCCCTGTCAGATTTCCTTGCCATACCGTCGGTGCAGAACACATATCGCCAAGCTACGATGGCCCAGCTGGCTGCCGAGCAAGATACTTTTATCCCTATGGGGACCAGGCGGAGTTTTCATGTCGTGTCCAGTTTCGCTACCCCCGAGGCGATTGAAATAATTTACGATGTTTTTGCTACCACCTTCAAAGCTGAGATCTCGGATGTACCAAACATCACCACTAGCATTGCGTACCAACCCATGACGAAGCGATTTGTAGAGGAGGGGGATAGGAGGGGCGGTAATCCACAGGGTATAGATGCGTCTAAGGCTCCATATTTCTGTATGTCTCACCTCGTGGCCGCTGGAGGCCGCCGACCCCAACGCAATTCCAAATCCCTGCCGTCATTTCTTGCCCCAATTTTGAATGTATTTCTATCTGACTACCAGCTAACCATGTGCCTTTTTAACCTTCCGGGAACACAGGGGTCGTACAAGACTTATCATGGACAGACGCCAAATACGATCAAAGAATTGCCGAGTATCGCAGATTAGCCGCGGCAAAAACGGAAGAGAGACTAGCCGCTGCAGGCCTAAAAGCGGAATACAGGTACATGAACGATGCCGATAAAGGGCAGACGGTTTTCGAAACCTACGGCGGCGATAACCTTGCAAAACTCAAGGAGATCCGCGCGAAATATGATCCGACACGGCTCTTCACCGATTCTCTGGCCGGCGGATGGAAGGTTGAGCATGCACAGAGCAAGAATTAGATTTTTTGGAATACATCTTGTATATACTTAATTCTTCTTCATTATTTTGAGCCATTGTTGCCAAGTGACCCTCGATGGGAATGGATAGGCGAACAACAAACTACACTTATTTGTTCTGCTTTTGTACTGGTATCTTGCATACGCCCAGGGTAAGAGGTACTTTTTTAAACATCATATGTCATCTTCTGGCTGGATGGAGCAGCCAGAAGAGAGCCAGGAGTTGCCGTGGCTGTCGTGAAGCCCCGGCTAGGTACTATAAATCACCCACTGGCGAGGAACTGAGCTGCACACCATTTACCCTTATATACCTCTGAGCTCGAAGAAAAGGGAATATCAGTACAACAACGTTACCATGGCTTTCCGTTATTTTATTTTATTTTATTTTATTTTATTCCTTCCTATCTTACAACTCCTCAGCGCGCTCTCGGGTACCTTTATCGCTGATGATAACTCTCCCCTGAGCGGAGTATGACCTCTGGTGCTTGTCCTCCACGCTTCAGGGCTTAATTCCGATCCGAGCACAAATAAAAATGTGCATATTTCTGTCATTCGAGCCAGATTGATAGTCTATTTTGGGTTTTCCTCCTGTGGCGGGTTGACATGGCACGCAATCTCCGAATTTTTTCGGAATCATGACAAATAGTGAGACTCTCGCAACTAACCTGGTGCGCCGGGGCAGCCCCAAGGTGAGAAGGGAAAATGATCACCAAATTCTATCTCAATTTGCGATTGTCATACTAAAAGAGCAAATCGTTCCATCTAATTAGACCATTCGTTGACAAAGGGCACGAATGCATCTCCCGCTATACGAGGCATTGTCGATTGCGGACCCTTCGCGAACCCTTTTCATTTGGGCACTCATATAGGAGCCCTTCATCGCTCCAAGTCTTCCGTTCTATTATGACGGTGAGAGTGTTGCTAGAGTGTTTTTTACAGCGCTCTGGGCATCCAGAGGAGAAAAACATATTCAGCCGTCGAGTCAGAAAAAAAAAAAAAAAAAAAAAACCAGAATCCAGTCTTATGCCACTCTTAATAAAATGTTCTGCCTAGTCGCCGCGATAAGACTGCACAACTTGAGAATCGTTTTGCCCGAGGATGGCAAAGATGACAGCCGCATGGCGCGTGGTCATCCCGCAAAATAATGTCTGATATCACCTCTCTACTCGGTAGTTACAGTCGTATCAAAGAATAAGAAGAAAAACAAAATGTAGGAATAGAAGAAGCGATGCAATAGTTGGGCGTCCCACAGTCATGTTATGTATTATTATAAAACCTAAAAAACTGTTGCCTGTGAGTCTGTCTATCTGAGAGAAAAGGAGCTCGATCGGCCAGTGATGCAGTATCTGCGGACTACCGAAGCTCCTGGAACTCATATACAACCCTCGGCTAGTGCATGAAGCATGAACATAACCCCCTTGTGTCTTCCAGAAAGTTCATGGTCAAGCTTGTCTGAGTAGCTTATTGGCCCATGGCCTGAGGATCGGCCTCGCATCGCAAATCTTGGTGATCCCTGGCCTAGAATACTATTAAATATAGGTTGGTATATCACCAAAAAGAAAAGAAAAGAAAAGAAAAGAAAAGAAAATTCATGTCCTACGTCGCCTTTGAAATCCCCAGGAGTAGGTAGACGCCACACTCGAGAAGTCCATGGACCCTTTCATTCACCTTGACCATAAATAAGCGAAATTACATCTGCCGGCGATATCCAGCCTGGATACCTGTAAAGTTGGAATAAACATGCTGAAAATACGAATATGGAGTGCCTCTTCGTATCTGAGGAGCTCAGAAATTATTATGCTTTGGTCCTGAGGACTGTTTGTGATTAGCAGGAATGTTGGGTGGGGCTTCCAGTCAATTGTGCTATTTATTTGGAGAAAATTCCTTAAAACTGAGCTATTTGTATTTATTTTTATATTTATCTTATTTATGTTTATTTTTGAATTGATAGTTTCTGATGAATCAGCATCCATTTTCACGGATGCGGAGTAGCCACAGAGTGAAATGGAATGACCAGGACCAGGCTTATCATGGCTCGTTGGGGGTGGAAGAGGAAGGCCATGAATATAAGGCTTCCTGATCGAAAGAACAAGGATCCACCCTTGGGGGGAGGTTTTACGGCAGGCTATCGAATGGGATCCATTCATTGCTTGGATATGTCTACATGTAAATATATATTTAGTGAGAATAAAATGAATATGGGGGAAAAAAACCAGGGGTATATAAAAATAAAAGAACATTCATGGAGCGGTGTACATGTATGCAAAAGGGAAATGAAAAGTCAGGTTAAAAAAAAAAAAAAAAAAAAAAAAAAAAAAAAGCATGCAGAGATCTCTTGGAGTGGGTGCTGAAACGCCAAAAAGTTCAAGTAGAAACGACAAGAACGCAGCGGGGTACTCCCATTTTTTTCAAAAGTGTATATATTGCACACATGGGAAAAAAATAACAAGATTACTGAAATGGAGCGTGACTTTTTTGAACTTAAGAGAATACCACATTTGTTTGATATTCCCGTCAAATTGTACGTCAGGAAGCGTGCTCGGCAGACACTGCAGCTTCAGTATCATTTATAGCCGAGCTGTCATCCTTTTCGTTATGATTGGTATTTTTGACCGTGTAAGTTCGCACCTTCGAGCTGCCGTTGGGAACGTGGAATCTCAAATCCACCCGCGAAAAGAAATAGAGAAACACCACCGTCGCTTCGATACCGAAATTGAAGATGTAAAAGCACGCCTTGTGGTGATACCACGCTGGGTTGTTCGCCATGCGTGGAGGCATGAAGGACGTTCCAGCACGAAATGACGCCCCGAGGCAGAGCAACACGGAGGCGGTACCAGCAACGAGAATTTTTGCCCTGAGACTCCCTTGTCCGAACTGCTCGGTTGGTTCGTGGCGCGGGGCTAGCACGATGAAGGCGAGCAATGGGATTGGGAGGAAAGAGAAGAAGGTGAAATAGGACATGCCCCACCACCGGAGATTGCGGTCAATCAATCGAATGTCCTTGTCTAGGGTGTAAAAGCTTTGGACCGCGGCAGTGATAACCATGATGAGGGTCAAGACGATCAGGACATAAAGAGCCTTGAAGGCATAGGAGAAAGCTCGTGACCAGCCTATCCGCGGATGGGTGGCGCGGAAGATGCGCTGTGTGTAGAGGAGGTTAAGGATAAAAAGGAGGATAACACCGGCGGCGATGAAGACCTGCGCGGCGATTGCGATCTGCGCGTTGGTGAGGCGATTCGTCCATACGATTCGGAGAACGCAGGCGGTGATTCGGGCCATGCAGAAACCAAACGTAACGGCTGAGGGGATAAATTTATGGCCGCGTGCCATATTTATTCGAAATCGGGTCATGTGGCACACTGCGCCGGTTACAAAGATCGCGAGAAAAACTGCAGTGATGGGAACATCTACTGTGATTGACGGCCGACCTCCCATAGCTGCGGTAGGAGGAGGGTAGGGTGGCCCAGGCGGGGAACTCATGGGCTAACACAATTGTCAATTCAAGACTCCCTCATGTATCTGCCATCCGTCAAGAGATAGAAGTAGTCCAATCCATACCATTGCCCCTGGGGAGCCCGGTGGAAAGCCTGATTGTTGCGACATCCTCAGGCTGAGGGAAGGTTTCTGCCTTCAACGAGGTAGCCTCTTCTTCTCCCTCTCTACCTATGCGGGCGTGAGCTTTCCCGGTGGTATATTTTTTTCGCTGTTAAATTGCGGGTTTGTCAGGGCATATAGCTAGCTAGCTCTATGAACTCCGGAAGTATTGAAGTTAATCCAGGCAATATGCCCTTGAAAGAACAAGCTTGCAAATATCGATTGTCAAAGTAGTGTGCACAGCACACCCGAAGTCGAGATCGAAGTTAATTTCTCCTTTTTGACGCAGGGAGGCAAAATGCCATTTATGTAGTCAAATTTTGGCTTCAAGGGGTATTCAATGAACCCCCATGATGAAATGAGGCCAGGATGGATTGGTCCAAGTTCCCGCACTGAGGCCTTCAAATATCGCCGCTAGCATCTTCACCATCGGGAGAAGGTTCGTCGTTTCCTCCGACAGCCAGATGTTGAGGAAACGCGAACGGACCGCCCAGCGTCAGCAGTCCCACGGTCCATGGCCCATCACCGTTCCCCCAGCTCCGAATCCGAGGAGTCTGCGCACAATGTTTCCTTGCGTTGACTCCGCAATGTTCGTATCGGTGGAGGTTATCGGTGGAGGCTGAAAGAACGTGACCAGATCGCGGGCGGCGAGCAGAGCCGCAGATTGGCTGGGGCCGCGGTACATCGGCGGTTGCGGAGGTCCGGCCCCGATGGCGCTGTTTGCGCTGTTTGCACTGTTTACACTGTTGGCAGCCGAGATCCCGATTCCCGATCCCGATCACGTGCCCAGAGACTGAAGAATGAGCAGGATATGTTGGGCACTAGAGTTGCCCAGGCGGCCCTGCACCGCACGTGATTACCCCTATATATAGTTAGCTAGCGATCGCACAATGAGAATTGCAGTTTTTTAAGAAAAACAGATGTTTTGATTAAAATACACTGTGATCAATATTATATTGAATGAGTTAAACATTATTCCTCTGAAAAGAAAGCTCTTTGTTTATAAAAATGATAGAATTGATAGAATTGCTGTTGAGACTGCTGTAGAGATTTTATTACTATTTTGAAAAAATTAAAAATTTATTTATTTATTTTCATTCAGAATTTCTTTAAATTAAATTAATTATGAGTGATTCTTGATTATCTGTGATTTCAATATCAGAATATAAAAAGATATTATATTTATAATTAAAAATCTCTCAATTCTTCCCTTTTATTACTGAGCAAAATGCTATCTGTGAAGTCAGTGAGTGCTTCTCATCCATCATCTGAAGCCTTGTCATAAATCATATTTTGACCTTCTTCAGAGCTACCATTGCTGATGAGAGTCCAGCATCTCAGTATAGAGTTGCAATGAGCATTATACAGAAAACTGAGAAGACCTCTTTGACTGCTATAATAAACATCTTTCAACTGTCTCCACATGTCATTTCAGATAAAAGTTAACCTCTTCACTTCTGTCTGTGTGTTTTGCTGACTGCATGCAGCCGCCATACCAGACCTCTGTATCATAGAGCAGTGAGAGAATCATGTAAATGATGACTACTTCCTCTCCTCCTCTTGTTGCTCAGGGTTAGTGTCATCCTAGCAGTCTATAGATGTAAAGCACTCATACACTAAGTGGTTAGAAGTTTTAATGTCAGAGTGTGTGTATAACTTCTGTATACAGATCACTTCACAGCTCTACTCAAAAGGTGCTCTGCTTTGTTTTCCTCTCGTTTGCCCTTGTCTCTATCGGCTCAAATGCTTCTTCTTCCTTCTTTTCTTTGCTCTCTCTGTCATTCTCTGCTCTTTTCCTGTCACAACCTTCTTCAGTGCTCTCTCCTTCATTATTTATCTTGTCTGTCTTTCTTCTGATGTTAGAAGCACAGACAGCTTTCTGATCAACTGAGAGAGGTATCCCTCTCTGCTCACTATAAAGCCTTCCAGGCACGGCAGCGGCGGTCCCCTCAGGGAACCACACTATAGCCCCACCATGAATGGCCATACGTCGGGCCAGAAGTGGATGCGCAGCTCAGAAAAATCCTTTGCAATGAGCTGAGTCTTCTCAAGAGTTGCCACCTGGATTCTGTTTTCTCTCTCTGTGTACATAGAAATCTCTCCAGCGTAGCACGTCTCCATGCCCTTCGGGAGGCTTCTGAAACACGGGCGCTGCCCGTGTTTTCTCCGGGACGTTAAACCTATACATACATACATACATACAAAATAAAAAATGATGCTCTTGTAATGAATGTACTTCAATTAACAATCTAACACCATTCTAAATACAAATTATGAATTGATTAAGAAAAGAAAGAGAAAAGAGATCAGAAGAAAAGATTGTATGAAGAGGGTTTTTATAAAAAGAAAATCAAAGTGAAAAAATATCAGAAGCCACTTCACAGTGAAGCATGGAGTAAAAGAACATTAAAAATTACACAGAAAAATTGTTAGAACTACATGAGTGTGAAATGTGAAGCAGAAAAGATTATGTGAAAGAATTGTTAGAGGCTACATAAGTGCAGAGTGCAATAACACAGATGAGTGGATGCAGAAGAGGAGTTGATTGTGTAAGTTAATTATGAATGAGTGCTAACCCATCATATTATCCCCCCCTACCAGGGTGAGCGATGATTTGTAGGTGTCAAGGGCGGCGGTGTCCTCCATGATGGATGCAGGTTCCCAGGTCGGACGATCATATCCTACCCATTTGACAAGGTATTCACGGCGGCGGTAGTTGGTTCTATCATCAAGAATTGCTTCAATCTCCTATTCAAGTTCGTTATCTTTTTCTATGATGGCGGGTGGCTGTCAGTTGGAGGTTCTCTGTGAGGGGAATGGATCCTCGGCTGCGGATCGGAGCAGGTTTGTATGAAAGACATTGTGGATGCCAGGTGGGGTGTCAAGTCAATAATTGTGTGTCCCTAGAACCTCCGTCACAGTATATTTGATGTGACAGTAATCTAGTGTATGTGAGAGGTGGTCTGTTCTTATGTTCTTGAGGTCTAGTCAGACCTTGTGTCGGAACTGGATAATGTTTGAATATTGATCCAAATAATGAATATCAATGAAATAAATTTGAATTGCTTATCTTAACTCCAGTAATTACATGATAACCAGGCAGTATTTATAAGAAAGAGAATGCTTGGATATATGATGGGGGGCAGTGCTGGTATACATCGGAGCAGTGATCCAGTTTCCAGAATTGAGATAATAGAAGGTCCTTGCTCATGTAATCATTAGAATATTAGATATGATATATCACTTCTCACATATCATCAAAATGCTTGATATGATATATCACTTTTCACAGTTACATATCTATAATCTCTTCAGAGAGCATTTGAATACTTTCAATTCACAATCTTCAGTTTTCAGTCACAGAGTTAATGATGTAAAACCTGGCATTTTTTCAAATCATGAAAAAAGCTCGTGGAATGCTGCAGAAAAGTCTGAAAAATTGAATATCATCAATTATTTTGATGTTGCTGAAACACTGAAGAGATTTGTTTACTTTGACAATATTCTGTCTTGCAATTTTTGATATTGTGAGACTTTTCTTCTACACTGTTTTCATCGCTTTCAAATTGTATTTTGCTATATAAAGAGAAGAGATAGCAACTGCATCTTAGATCAAGACATACAGACATGATCAATCTTAAAGCATTTCAGAATGATAATAATAATATTATAACTAGAAGTCTGGTTTGTTACAATGCCAGCAGTGACAACATGTGCAATGTAACTGAAAAGCAAAAACAGAAAATCTTCATAATGTCTCAGAGATATGAGACTTCACAGAAATGAGTATAAACCAGGACTTTGCTGCACTGAATGGTATCACATGGTAAGCCTCCACATCCAATGTCTATTACTTTCCAGCAAACAGGGATCTAATCAACTCTCATTTGAGTGGCGCAAGTCAATCAAGAACCCAGGTAATAGCCTGCTTCTGAAGATTAAATACACATGCAATATATCATCCAGGTGTGAAATTTAAACTGTCTGTTGTCATTTGTCATTTTAGCCGATCTCTGTTGTTTGTCTCCCTGGATTCCATTTCTTTAGCAAACTGATGCCACCAGTCTTCTAGAAGTCGGACCACGCCAATGAATATCGTAGAGCAATGAAACAAACTCCTTCCCTAAACTTATGTAGCCGATTCTGCGAGGGCTAGTGTGACAACGAGTGTCATCATTCTGGAATTTGGTGGACCTTCAACCTGTTTCAGATTGTTAGTAGGGTTCATCTGTATCTTCCTTTCTGCTAACATACTGATAGTTCTCCAAGAAGGTAACCCCTCGTCGGTGAAGATGCTGAATTTCCCCGAATGGAACAGCAACATGAAAATTCTCGTCAGAAGATGCGAACCGAAGAAGCAAACCCCATGTGCCAGGGCAAATTTCGACCAGAGTGACTTCAATAATCTCGGTATCCTCAGCCGCGCGTAGGACACTTTTCCTAACATGATGGAGTTTATAGGTGCCTAAAAACCGGCGATAGATGACCTCTGTCCAATAGTGCCAACCTATCCCACCCTCTACCTGAAGTATTTCCGGATTAGTTTTCAGCATATCCAATTCCCGGTCAAGTGCCTCTCGAACCTTCCAAATTGCTGCGGCAAAGGATTGATCACAAGAGGTACTCTGAAGAGCATTGAGAAGATCATGGTAGATAGGACCAGGAGGGTGCTGTTTAGTTAAGGGATGTGCAACTCTGCCAACCCTTGCTACAGCAGTAACCATGCCATAGCTCGTAATTCGGACTTTAGGTGTCGGTGTGTCTTTTTCCCAAATTATCTCGATCCCGTCATTAGGTTTGGGGTCTGCTGGGAGTTCCGGAGAGTCGTTTGCATGGGATGCCATAATGATCACAAAGGAAGGAAGTGCTGGAGGGATAGCTTGTACGCATCGAATGGGGGGGTGAAGGATATTTATGCCCAACTGGGAGTCTAGGGCGCAAGCTTTGCAGCCCCAAGAAGTTGGAGTATGGGACCAGTGCATGCAACCAGCATGCACTGTACCTTCGCCAAACCATGCAAGCGAAGAATATCATATGAGCTATGGAGAAATTTGTGCTCGAGCCTTTAGCTTTAATATTCATTCTGAAGCCATAAGGCCAAAGTAAGAAGCATCCAGCCGCACGACAAGAAGGGAGCAGAAATGAAACCTGGAAGTTAGGTCAATTAATATTGTCATGGTATGAAATGGAAATAGCTAAAACTATTCAACGTTCAAGCAATTAGAAGCAAGTAAATTTAGAAGAGCATGGGGCATTGCTACACTGACTAGTATCCACAGGCAGCCACATTCCAATGCAATCAGAAAATATCGGATGTGTTGTCTGGGAAGCCATGTAACGGCACGGTGTTCCCCAGCTCCCCAGGCCGAACGGAAATATTTCGAGCCATATAGGCACCAATAGTGATAATCAACATTACCTGGAGCCATGTCAGCACACGTTGAAAAAGCCGTAGTTTCGCTGAACTTACTTGGATCGAAAAGGGCCAGTCGTGGAAGAGTCCGCCTGCGGCAAACCCTGCTGTTATGAGAACAAGAAGTGCATGGATTGTAACTTCACGGATTACAGGCCCCTGAGATGGTATACCGCGAATTCCGCGACAAAAAAGCAGACCGGCAATCACAAGTACCATGTAGTCGATTGGCACGACCACAGCTGTATCTTTCACCGATGCCTTGTAGGCGACCGAGCTAACTCAATGAGCAAAAGGCTTATCAAGATTGGGGAGAAGAGCATACCATAAGACCAAACCGAGCTTTACCACGGGGGATAGAAAGCTATATCCTAGAAATAATCGATGCAGCAGGGCGATCGTAAGAGGTCCAGCCTGAATTTTGGTCTGCCGGATCATCTAGACATCGCGGTTAGCGAGGATGGAATTAAGAGACTCAGAATAATGTACCTCTAGGGCTAGAGGGAATGCTGTACATATTCCCAAGGGATAGTAAAATGCTGGCGTATCTGAAACAAGCATTTAGCATTTTTATCATCATCATCATCTCAGTAGAAGGGACTGGCTCACCCCCGCGCCTTAAGCTTGATAGACCAATGCCAATGACAACAGCATTGACACAGATAAAGAGAACAAAGATTGATATCTCAGGCAAACGGTGAGGCTGGGGGCGGTGAACGGTAAGCAAAATGAGATGCACTACACTTAACACGATGAGCGCCGCCGACAGAAGCGCATATGAGATGTTAGAATACATTTTGCAAGAAAAGGCAGTCAAGTTGGTCCATTTTGAAATGATCTATCGCGGAGCGATGTGATGTGGTTTATAGCTCTCAGGAAGCCAGTCTCTGCGCGCCTCGAATGGGGCTTCTTCGATGGTCGAGGGGGTATGCCCATCCTCATTTCAGCAAATTTCAGCAAATGTTGGACGGCAGTTGTCTAGGGCTTGTACAAATAGTTACACTATTCCCTTTGCATGAGGATGGCACGGACTCAAGCTGGACATGTATATCGCACTCGCGCTCCCACGGTGATTGACGCAAGTCTCCCCGTGCCCTCGACACAGTCTGAATAATCAGTTTTAGCGGGAGAGTCAGCTCACTGGGGGGGCCTCCCCTTCCCGCTAGTCCAACGCGAGGTGATATTTCAAGCGCTCAGCCGTTTCACTCTGGCCTGATTGGTCCGAGCAGGAGGGTTTGAGCTAGCTGAGATAAGTCACGACGACGACATCTCCTTCATTATGGGGAATAATATTAGTTCTACGGTAAGATGGTGCCAGTTCCTCTGTGGCTAAGAGCTAACTGGTGCAGGCCTCTCACGATCCGGCCTTGAAAGCGAAGCTCCATGAACTTGGGGATATCATCTGCGGCTTGGGTAGCGTGGTGCGTTTCCCCTCACTGGTTCCATTCTCCATAATCTGACATAGTAAGACCATTGGGCATTCTCTGAAAGCCATATGCAATTCTCCAGATCGCAAGAAGTCACTTTTCAAAGCGGTTGCAGCAGAGATAAATCGCCAGTACGAAGCTCACCAGTCGACAACAAGACATACCTTTTTCCAAGAGTTTCGCTGGGAAGAGAAGAACTTATCTGAGGAGCAAGTCGCTGGACTTGCTGCTCTCACAAAAGGTTGGGAGCTCAATGATGATGACCTTGAAGAGCTCAGGAAATCCGCACAGCTATGGGCGTCCAAACCCTGGCTTTTTTTTGACACCAGGAAGCCCGATCGCCCCGGTACCCTTGGGCTTATTCAATTTTGCTTTAATGACATCGAGCAGATCGAAAATGTCAATCTCACACGACGTAAAGTCGATCTCATTGTCATGTTCGAAGCAATTCAACAAGAGGTGGAACACCGGCGGCGCTCAAAGAAAAAAAAAAAAAACTCACGATGTGGCCGTCGACCCAGAGCCATCGCAACCAGTCATCTCCAAAGTGTTCTCCGATGTTGTGGAGGCCTCCGGGTCTCCCTCCAAGCAAGAGACCAAGAAACGGCGCCGGAAGCTGAAAAGGCAATCCGCTAGTGGAAGCAAATGGGCGCAGATTGTACCTCGCTGGATGGTTCTCGCCCTGCAAGGCGCCACTGCTAAACGGTTCGTTATTCCTCTCAGAGAGTGTGGTTCTGTCCAACTGAGAAGACCACTTTAGCTTCGAGGATAGGCACTGGCAGCCGATAGAAATCAAGGCGATAAATGCATATGTTAAGGTTCTTGGGGCACGGAAAGAAGAACGTTTACTCTTCAGAGATACATAAAGAATATCGTCGGCGTGCTTCGCCCACGGTTCGAGATCAACCTGAAGAAGCGTCCACAGAAACAATCCGCGAGCAGGGTAGAACTCGGGAAGGGAGCCACTTGCAACGGAAACGGACATCGCCTTACCCAGAGAAGCTTTCTAGTAAACGAAGATGCGATGGGCGAAACGAACAAGCTTGTCGGCTATATACCGATACCCAGCTGGATGATGGGCACATACCATCGGAAAGCGTCCAAGGTACGTAATAAAGCCTATCCCTAGCTAATGTTGTTAACAGTTAACGTAGGAGCGCGATCAGCTATATCCAGGCAGGATTCTGCGTCGTGGAAGCAGCACTTTGATGTTGCAAACCACAACCCAGCCTCTCAGACACCGGCTGGCCCGGGTGCAAATTTACAAACACAATTGGGGCTGACGGGTTCACAATATGTACAACCCATGGGCGGGTGTATAGAAGCTCCGAGCAGGCTATGAGATATGGTCTGGGGAGATGATGGTACTATCCACCCGCTTCCTAAAGGCAAAATTTCAAACCCGATTTCGTCGCTTCTCTCCGGACCCTAACATGTTTAGATCACATTTCGACCGACGATCCTGCACATCAAACGTCCGTTGACCACCTGGGAACCTCGAACCAAATAGAAAACAGACGCAGCACATCCTCATCGAGCTCAATATCTGAATCCACTGACAACTCGCCGTATTACAGCGGTCCTGGTGGCTCGGGTGCCGTTGAATGCCACAATGATTCTTTTTCGAAGCAAGTGCATAATGGTCGGCAGCTAAGCCCTATCGGGGAGCTCTCGTTGGAAGAGCGGGAGGCTGCCCAAATGCTTCAACAATTTCAACAACAGACGCAACCAACATCCGATCCACCTAGCTCGCAGCAGTTGGGAGAAATGAGCGTGCGAAATGCCACGAGAGAGTGTTCTCAAGGTACGTCAAGGGACCAGTTTACCGGAACCCTACCATCGGAGGAGCGGGTTACACCGCCAGAACAAAGTAGTTCCGCTTATATATGAAGTCCCTAAGCTAATTCAGTTAGCAGTTAACGCAAATGGCCTGGCCGAGAATGATATACATGTCCCTCGCCCGATCGTCGATATATCCAGACAGGATTTAGTGAGATGGAAGGACGATGGTACTATTCAGTCATCCGATCTTTCTAAAGGTAGAATTTCAAACCCAGTTTCTTTGCTCCTCTGAGCACTAACATGCTTTAGATCACACTTCGAGCAACGATCCTACCACCCTTAATACGAATGAATCCCGCCCTCCACATCCAGCCACAGATTCGAATTTATTTTATAACGGGGAAACAACCACAGACATTCCAACATGGCATAATGTGATTTTTGACCCGGACGCACAGGATATTACAAACGAGGTGTCACAAAATGTGTTTTATGGCCTGGGCACACATAATTCGACAAATGGGTCTTGGCAAGACGGGTTTTTTGACCCCGACACACAGCACCCGACAAACGGGCTATGGCGGAATGTGTTGGCTTCAGAGACAAGCTCAAATGATAGCATGGGTTTCCGTCAGTTGTTGCCACAATTCCCCTATTGTGGCGGTCTGTATGCACAACCATCAGGGTTCTAGGCAGGTTTTTAGTGAGGCGCGTGTTGAACTTATGCTATCTGTTGCAGGTAGATAAGTATTAAAAAATCAGGGTTTTTCATTCGGTATGACGCCAATTTCGAGTCGAGTTGTCACATTTTGTGTGAATTTAGTAGATGAACTAAGGTTATTTCCAAATATATACAATATATGATAAGCAGAAGAGGAGGCAAACACAATCACTGTAATACATAACAGAATTCTAAGCCCAGATTATTTGATGCAAAGTTCCATGAATATCCATCATAACCCATTCATCCCGTTCCCTATGCCTTGTTGTTATCCCCCCCTATCATTTCTTTAATGGTGAGTAAGTCAACACGGTTGTGTATATAAGAAATAATTTCTGTGACATCTATAATTTTCCCAACCGGAACGGTTATTATTGACTTTTCATCGGGAGTATCGGATATCATGAGGTCATTTGATATAGGAATGAGGCGCATAGGGACCTTAGCCCAAAACCGGGTGTGATCATCTATTCTCAAAATTTTGGATTTTGAGGGCTGCCATACACATCAGTTCCATATTTACCCATTTAAGATAATATCACACTCACATCTGCCTTAGCTGCATGTAGTATGGTTTTAATCTTCGAAGCGTCCAGAGGCTCCATGCTTTCCTTCGGAGTATCAAATGTCACTCGCCATTCAGTGACTTTATCCGCAAGTAGTTTTAAATATATATCAAGTTTGATTTTTCGTTTCCGAAGGCCTCCCAATCATAAGCTGTTGGGCTAATGAGTTCAAGGCGCTGCAAAGTAGCACAGCCGCATATTAAGCGCCAGAGGGTCGGGCTAAGTGGGAATTCGCTATGCAAATGAAGGCTTTTCATATGCATACAAGACAATAACATTTCTGAGAGCCAACTGTCCAGCTCGGGGTCGCCTTGGTTCCATACTTCAAGTTGCACTAAATTCAGGGATTTGAGACTGTGGAAAAATAGATGAGCGTTCGCGCAGAAAAAGAGGCCTAATATTTCTAGGCATGGCAAGTCTGCTGGTAGATTGTGAGGAAATGGCTCAAAGTCCACAGAGTAAAGACACAGGTCCTTCAGTGACGGCGCAATAGAGAGTGGATATGACATTCCAAACCCAATTCTGTCTGGCCGGAGAGAAATATAAAAACCTCCCCGGTTCTGGGTATCTATATTTATATTTTTAAGCCGTAATCATAGAAATTTGCATCTCAACAGAACCTTGTAGCTATCTCTCTAGAAACCTGTCTAGCTTGTAACAGGGGTCATCTGCCGCAATGCCGAATACCAGCCGTTGCTCGCGAAGACCTTCGTCAACCTCCTCGGACGGCGACAATACATCTCAGCAAGTCGAAATCATGGAGATCCATAACCGGGTGCTCGAGATGATTGAATCATTCAAGCGAATGTCCGCGATACTCGAGACGATGGAAAGACGGTGTAAAGAACAATATGGTGCCGATCCACAGGCCTCTATGAAAGAAGATCGCGATGCAGGTAACATTTGAGTGCCGGTAAGCATTATTTCCATATCCGTGAGCTCTATTGCTGACCGTTTAGCAAGGTACGCCGAAAACGAGTAAACTGAACGCAGGTCAGGGGAGTTTGATTATCGGAAAGTCACTGTTGGTTCTGGTTGTTACCCCCGACCATGTACATCTGCGAATGAGGACGAACTACTCCCTTGTGGTGTTCATCGGATATAGGTCATATGGTTGTGTGAGAGATATTTAACGTGGAGGTTTGCGTATATCTCTCGAAAAGAATAGAATTAGATTGAGCGCTCTACTGCTCCAAATATCTACGGACTTTCCATGGCTTTTTATAACCATGAATATCCCGCTAGCTAGATTACAAATAAATGCCCATATAGGGGCATTTTACATAACTACAATAATCAATAGTTTCTAATATAATAATGAGGAATCTCCCAAATAGGAAGGACCTAAGAGAAAATTAATGATGACCGCGGCCGCACGGCGCCGATTATATAATCGGGCGGTTTGACAGGTTGCTTCTCGGTGAGAGTTCACTATTGTGCCGGCATTTTCTTATGATAAGGTGCTTCCTTTGGGCTGCGGGCCACCTCTAGATACTCATACACTTCCATGCCTGTCCGCGAGACAAAAATCAGACGCGGAAGCCAAAAGAAATCCCATTATTATTGCTGGTTGGTGTGTATGCTGATACTGGATTGTCATACATGTATCTTCTAGACCTAACCTTTCCACGTTTGCTATGTAAATATTCTATTCTTGGTCCTAAAATCTTAAAGGTATTCGATAGGAAAATTGATTGATTAAAATATCAAATCTCTGGGGAAATTCGATCCATGGACAAAGGGAGAACAATTTCAAAAAGGCAACAGCACCTTCTTCGCGCTGTTTCTCAAGGGCCTGTTTCCAACTCTCCTCAACGCTGCTTTATCACTCAAGCGCTACTCTGGACGTCTGACCCTGTTGTCGTAGAGGTACGCATACGCCCAGTCCAGCCATTGTTATTACAGGGTCGTTTTATGCCCTCCTGACTGAGTGACCTTTTCAAAGATCCAACCCGCCTTTTCATCGGGCGCCTGTCTATGTCGGACCGGTGAAAGTCTATGATCAGGACCCGGCGCAGCTCGTCATTCCATAACATGTTGGCAGACCGCAGGTCTTTATGAACCACTCCCAGCATGCGGATTTCCTTCTTCGACCTGGAAATCTCACGACTTAGCTCTTCCTTGTCTTTGACGTTCTCTATACTTTCCCCTGCCCAACCCATGAGAAGCATATGGCGGATGTCCCCAGCACCATGGAGGAAAAGGAATAATTTCAAATCAATCGTCCCCAGAAATACAGGGACAGCAGAACCCTGTGCTTTCTGAAGAACCCGGTATATTTCTGCTTCACGTGAGACAACTTTCCATAGTCCGGATGTTGTCCCCTTTCCAACAAGAGTGTAGCCATATGCAGCACAAGTGATCTTGAAGGGTGCACCATACGATCCACAAGTCCCAAATGGTGTGCAGTTATGATCAAGGTCATGATTGAGCTGTTCATTCAGTATTTGCACAAGCTTCCTTGCATTGATACAATGTCGATCATCATTCTGGCCTCGCCGGTGGAGAGAAACATTAGGGCATTGATGGTCCAATTCACCTCCTTGTTGCAAACCCAATAAGCACTGCTGTGTACAGTAACGTGCCGTGTGTTGGCTCTGGCCGCTCGATGGCCTAGGACCTGCTGGGCGCGCCGATGAACGCTGGCTGGGCGGGGAGGACATCACTTGGCTGAAGCCCCGCTTCCGGCTGTGCGCTGCTTGGTTAGATTCGGAGTCGGAAGAATCCATATGATCACTCAAAGGTGAGGTATCCATTGGTGCACAGGTGGTTTGAGATCGGGTAGAAACTCGATGACTGGGCTGTAATGGAGATGATGGCAGATGTTCAGAGGGTATATATTCTGAGCTTGCATATTCCGATCCTGGAGGAGTTTGTTGCAGCTCATCATCGGGGATTTGCGACCGTGTAAAGTCAAAACTTGTCTTCCATATATGGAGCTGGGATCTTGCAGCATTCCGCCACTTCTGGTCACGGATATCCGAGAGAAAGGACATCAGACAGAGACATAATATTCTGGCAATAGCTGTCTTTGACTGATAAAAGACCCCAGGATTTTCTGAAATCACATCCATGTTTGGTTCACAGAGATAGTAATAGAGCGTACTAGGGTCGTTGTATGGAACACGAAGAAGAACAATAGCAAGTCCATTAGTTATGTAGGAGTACTCCAATCCAGCTTGAATCATGACATGATACTCCTGAACCAAAACTGAGCAAGTCAGCTGTTCCGCATTATATCTCAGCTTTTCATCCTTGTTCAGCTCATCACTCTTGGGGATTGTGTCTGACTGAACAATCTCTTCCCAGAGCTTCATCGATCGAAGACCAGCTCGGAGATTTTCAACTGAGAGCTTGTGTGGTGGCTTATATTCGACTGTCGTAATCAAAGTATTGGTGGAATCGTTGATTCGATGAATACAGAATGAATCTGGTTTGGGATGTTTTGTGCTGGATTCATCAAGCAGCTGTACATCTGACTCTTCTGATGTCTGTAGAAGATTTTCATGATTTTCAAACAGGATCCCATCTCCAAGCCGGAATCTCTCTCGGGCATCAGGTATTTTGCATAGCTCGGCTATGATATCATGGACATGATCTTCCACTGTAGCTCGTTCGTAGTTCTCCAGATCCTTTTCACTTCGTAGTTTTCGACTAGAATACCGCCGACCAAGTCCCTCTAGCTCAAGAAGAGATGTGAATAGCCGAGGTGCATCTTTTCCGGCTGGTTGGAGGTAAGTGGAAACCGCATCATAAATTTCTTGCAGTTGAACCGGACAACTTGACCAAAGGCGAAGGCTCGTTGGGCAGTATTTCCCAGTGGGTGGTGGAATACTCCCCTTCGTGGAGCGGGATGGCGTTCCAACCTGCAAAGGCCGGGAGAATGAATCATGACAACCTTTGATAAGCTCTCCGAGTGTTGTCGGCTGGCTGCGCACTTTTTCCTCTGCCTCTCGCTCTTCTGCCTGCCTTCTCAATTCTTCCGCCTGCCTTCGCAACTCTGCTTCCCGTGCCTCTCGCTCTTCTGCCTGCCTTCGCAACGCTGCTTCCCGTGCCTCTCGCTCTTCTGCCTGCCTTCGTTCCGCTTCCGCTCTACGGTAGAGAGACTCGTAATCTGGTGAACTGTTATCGGACATTAGAGAGGGATACAGAGTTATGTCAAAAAGCGAAAGTGGGTACCAAAAAGCGAAAGTGGGTACCAGGCATTGACTGGCATAGCGATAGGGCGGCGATAATCCTGCCAGCCACCTCGCCCAAAATAACACGGATCAACGTTTACCCGCACATAGAAGACGCGAGCCAACTGGCCGTATCTGACGAAACAGCGAACTGCCGTCCCCCAGTTGACTAACCCGCCTCACTAACCTTGTTCTCTGTTGTTGGGCACTAGTTGCCCAGGCGGCCCTCCACCGCACGTGATTACCCCTATATATAGTTAGCTAGCGATCGCACAATTAGAAGATTAACCATATCACAGATTATGGCCCAGATTGCAGATTTTAAGAAAAACAGATGTTTTGATTAGAATACACTGCAACTGATGTTATATTGAATGAGTTAGACATTATTCCTCTGAAAAGAGAGCTCTTTATCTATAAAAGTGATGTAATTGACAGAATTGCTGTTGAGACTGCTGTAAAGATTTCATTACTATCTTGAAGAAATCAAAAATTTATTTATTTATTTTCATTCAGAATCTTTCTAAATCAGATTGATTGTAAATGATTTTCAATTATTTATAATTTTTATATCATAATATAAGAAAATATTATATTCATAATCAAGAGTTTCTCAATTCTTCCTCTTTATTATTGAGTAAGAATTCAGTTCAGAAGTGAAGAGTGATCAAATTGAATATACAATGACAAAGAAAGATATGACAATTTATAACTTTATATATGATATTGACAAAATATCAGAATGTAAAAAATCTGAAAATGACACATTCAATTTTATATTGATATTTATATTGAATTCTAACAACATGATGATCATAACAGCAGCAGATTTCATTGTATTTTATAAACGATTGATATCAATATATATCTTTATAATCAAATATAGATGAATTAAAGAGTTTTATTTGACAATCACGGGATTTGGAAATATTGAAATTTTAAAAGGAAAAAGGTCTTTACTTTTATATAAATACACTGAAAACGATAGCGAACGATAGCCCTGATCGCAGGGAATCTCACGACACCCAGCAATCCCCAGTTGAGGTGGTGCTGGTGCCATGGTTGTGATGGAGGAAATCGTGGGACGTGCTGACGGACGCCCGCGAGAAGAAAACTCTGACAAGAGGCAGCAGCCCACCACATGTGGAGCAATATTGACACAGTTGAGCAATGTTCTTTGCAATGGGAGCGAAGATCCTGCCATCAACGGCAAAGGGAAGGAGGTAGTGGAGGAGGCAGCCAGGTTGGTGAGGGAGTTGAAGGTCAAACTGGGGGAGGTGATGCTGGCCAAGGTGGAAGACGCGACCGTGGCGACACGCGCACAACGCCAACCCGAAGGAGTGAAAGAAGCCAAACTGTCATCATGGGCCAAGGTCGCAGGACAGGGAATTCCAGAAAAACCAGTGCCTAACCGAACCCTCCGCGAGATTACTGTCCTACACCGGGACTGCGAAGCCCTCCCAGCTGAGGAGGCCACCCCCCCAGCGATTGTGGCAGCCGTCAACGCCAGAATTATGGATGTGACAAAGGGAAAGGTGCTTGCAGCAAGATGTCTCCCCAGTGGAGACATCATCCTGACAACCGACGCGAGGGAGACCAGGGAGGCCTTGACTAAGAGCAGCACATGGCTGGAAGTCTTGGGACAAAAGGCGAAGGCAAGCACACCCTGTACCCAGTCATGGTTAAGGGAGTCCCAATGGGCAACACCAACTGGAAGGAGGAACAGCAAGCCATCAAGGCAATTTACGCACAGAATGAAGGACTCCGAAGAGGGGTACAAATTGAGAGACTGTCTCTACGACGGAATGCCAGCTTGCAGGCAAAGGTTGGGTCTCTTGTACTCAGCGTCACCTCGCCTCAGCAAGCCAACCTACTAGTAGACAATGGATTGATAATAGACAGCATATTTTGTGACGTTGAAATCTTCCACCGGGAAGCGCAGGTCACCCGGTGCTTTAACTGCCATGAGTATGGGCATACGGCCAGATTCTGCAGGCAGGCCAAAAGGTGCGGGTTCTGCGCGGCAAAAGAACATGACGACAAGGAATGCCCAGCACGAAAAGCTGGGGAACAACCGAGGTGCGCAAATTGTAGGGGAACACACCCAGCCTGGGTCTCTAAGTGCCCTGAGAGGGAGAGGGCATCAAGCAGGGCCCGTACAGCATACATGGAAAGACCCCGTAGGTTTATGGAGCCAAAAGCACAAGATGGGTGGCAGGTGGTGCAAACCAGAGGAAATAAAAGGTTACCCACTGGGGAACCAGAGGGCCAAAGAAGAGGACCAGGCCGACCCAAGGGGATTCTGCAAGCAGGCGAAGCCCAGAGAGGAGCTCTAAGTGCCTTTATAGCACCACAGAGCTCACAACCTGGGTCTCAGCTACAGGAGGACCTAATGGACTACACGCAGACCCCAGCCCCCACGCAACAATGACGGACACACTAAACCTCCTACAATATAACGTGCACAACTCTGCGAGAGTTATGGGTGCGTTATTGGCAGACCCTGCAACAGAAGACAAATACGACGTAATTGCAGTACAAGAGCCCAGCCGGAATCCCCACATGCTAGCAACACACTGCCCCAGAAGCTGCGGCTTCTGGCCAGCATATCACCCGGAAACACACCCAAGAGTATGCTTTCTGGTCAACAAAAGGCTCGTAGAACACACATGGGAGTGCCACTACCACTCAGAATACATTGCAGTGCTGACAATCACCACCGACCTGGGTAAGGTGCAAATAGTCAATGTGTATGCACCTCCTCCAGGGGGCTACAGCAGTGAACCGGAGGAATCCCCCATAGGCCAGCTGCAGGAGGTAGCCGGAATGGGCACAGATGCAGAGCTGGTCATATTAGGAGATCTTAATGTCCACCATGAGAGGTGGGGAGGGGTGAGAGTGGAGAGAAACTTCCGCATGGCATGGCAGCTAATAGCACAGGTGGATAGGCTGGGTCTCCAGCTTGCCACACCTGTAGGGGCTACCACATGGCAGGACAGAGGCAGCCCAGGAACAACTATAGACCTCACCTTTCTATCACCACTCCTGCACGACAAGCTCAGGAGGTGTGCAATAGCGGAGGAGGCATGCAAAGGATCTGACCATAAGCCCATAGAAACAACACTGGAACTCACACCCATCCCAAAGGAGGCTGAGAGACGAAACTGGAAGAATACGGAGCCTGAGGATGTAGCAAGGGACTGCCAAAAGCTATATGTGCCACAAAGCCTGGACTCCAGGCAAGCAGTCAAGGAGTATGCAGACTACCTGGTAGGATTTGTAGGGACATTAGCGGACAAACACGCCACCGTAAGTAAGGCTGGGTTAAAATCCAAGACATGGTGGTCACCGAGGGTGGCCAAGGCAGTGGAGGAGTACAAGCAGGCTAGGAGGTCCCAGCTCCCAGAAATGGAGCGGCTCAGGGCACGCTGCAAGCGCAACAGAGAAATCCACTTGGCTAAGACAGCAAACTTCAGAGATCTGGTTGACAGGACCCGTGATGACCCCAGATTGATGTGGGGACTAGCAAAATGGGGCAAGGAAAGAAGCCATCTGCCCCCACAGGCACCTACTGTCCCCCCCCTGAGAACAGGGGAAGGGGCTGACGCGACGGTAGAAACCTCTTTTGAGGGGAAGGCTGAGGCATTACGACAACGGTTCTTCCCACAGCCAGAGCCCGCCGACTTAAGTGACACCAATATGGAGCTGCTGCAAGCTGAAAGGGAAGCGTCAAATGACACCATCAGTGTGGAGGACATGGAAAGCCTGATCCAGAGACTGCCAAACAGGAAGGCACCAGGGAGGAGTGGGATCACCAACGAGTTCCTTAAGATGCTGGGCAGAACATTTGTGGAGGCCATAACAGCTCTCACCAATGCATGCTGGCATTGGGAGACTTACCCAGACACGTTTAAGGAAGCCAAGACAGTGGCCTTGCGCAAGCCAGGGAAGGCTGACTACCAGACTGCAGGAGCGTGGAGACCCATTGCCTTGCTGGACACAATAGGGAAGATTGTGGAGGCAGCAACTGCAAAACGCCTGCGGAGGACCACAACCTGCTACCCTCACAGCAAATGGGGGCAAGAAGGGGCAGGTCCACTGAAACAGCCATAGCACAACTTCTAGCCCAGATAAGGACAGTGTGGCAGCACCCAGGACAGGTGGCATCGGTACTCTCCCTAGACATGACAGGGGCCTATGACAAGGTGCTGCGGGAGCGAATGGTTCACATCCTCCGGCGACTGGGCATCCCCAGGGACCTGGTGGGATGGGTTGCGTCCTTCATGACCAACAGGAAATCCACAATTGCCTTTGAGGGCCAGGAATCAGACACCTTTGACATCCCAGCAGTCATCCCGCAGGGGTCACCCCTATCACCTATACTATTCCTATTCTACAATGAGGAACTGGTGCGCATCTGCTCAAGACCGGGGCGCCCGGTGGTGTGCATAGCCTTTGTAGATGATGTCAACGTGATGGCCTATGGCCAGTCCACTGAGGACAACTGCAGGGAGCTCCTGCGCATGCATCGGGCATGCGAGGAGTGGGCAGCACGGCACGGGGCGGTCTTTGCCCCCCAGAAGTATGAGCTAATGCACTTCACACGGGCGCGCAACCAATTCAACCTACAGGCCGAGCTGAGACTGCCAGGACAAACTATACAACCGAAACAGGTGATGAGGGTATTGGGTGTATGGTTAGACTCTAGGCTGAGATGGAAGGGCCACCTGGACGCGGTGGCAGGCAAGATGAAGACTCAAGTCAGAGCACTGTCCCAAACCACCCAATCCACATGGGGGCTCCCACTACGACAAGCGAGAATGGTGTATAACATGGTCATCAGGCCGGCCCTGACCTATGGAGCAATAGCATGGCACCAGCCACAGGGGCAGGGGGGCACGGGTCCAGCTAAGCCAGGACTGGCCCTCAAGCTGACCACAGTGCAGAACTCCTGCCTCAGAATAGTGGCAGGGGCATACAAAAGAACCCCAACAAGCACACTGGAAGCGGAAACCCACACAGTACCCTTAGACATCCACCTGGATGGGCTAGTGGCAAAGGCGGTCAACAGGATGAAGGCCTCAGGAATGGCGCAACAAATTGAGAATGCGTGTGCGGCCATAAGGACCAGGCTTCGGCACCGGGGGGTGACAAGGGGGGCACAGAGACACATGGGAGCTGTGGTTCACCCGGCAGCCCTGCCAGTGGACTGGGAACAGCAACGGATTCAGGGTGCTAAGGAGAGAGCCACAGCAGAGATGACACCTGAACAACGAGCCAACCTGGACCAAGCCTCATATAATCACTGGCTGAAGCGCGAGCAGCTCTGGAGGTGGGTGCAGAGGTGGAAAAGACGTGAGCCCCCCTGGGGGGAGCGGCATGGCCGGCCCCCAGACAAGAAAATTCTGAAGTGGCACACCGGCCTGCGCAAGGCTCGCAGCACTATCATCATCCAATTGAGGTCAGGGAAAACCGGACTGGCAGCGTTCCTAAACCGGTGTAAGGTACCTGAATTCCCCACCCCACGGTGCCCCTGTGGGTATGAATGGGAAACAGTCGAACATGTTCTGATACACTGCGGACGCTGGGAGCAGCAGCGTCAGGGCCTTATAAGAAATGGCAGGCTAGACAAGAGGATGCTGCTAGACACCAAGGAAGGCCTGCATCTCCTGTCAAACTGGTGGATGGAGAGCGGGATTCTAGGCCAGTTCACATTAGCACGCGAGCTGACACACTATGTACCATAAGGCCCTGAGCTGCCTTGGACCCCCAGAATCCCCTGAATCCCACATGCACTCACTCCCCTGACTACTTAGCCCCTCCCTCTCCTCCCTCTCCTCCCCATCCCCTCGCCTCTCTCCACCTCATTTGCACCACCTCATTTTCATCCCCTCATCATCTCCTCACCCTGCCGTATAATCTCCTCTATCTACCCCTTCTGTCAATCCCCTCTACCCCCTCCTGTCACTCCCTTCTATCCTAACAGCGCCTACTATCTGTCCCTCCCTTCTTCCTTTCTTTTGTTACTATACTTTCTCTAATTCCTTTTCCTTTGTTCCCGCTCCCATTGCAAGGAACAGCTCTAGCTGACTTGCCCGGTACCCTGCAGATGAACAGGATAGTTAACACCACTGTGCGCAAGGTTTTTCACCCCCCTGCGCCAAGGCGCAGTGGGGTTTTCCTAGCTAGACATATGGTAGCAGAACCGCATATCCATTGGATGAAAGCGGAGTATAATAAATAATAATAATAATAATAATCTTTGTTTATATCTTCGTCTATTCTTACCTCTTTTCATTATACTCTCGCTACCACTATTTTTATATGTATATATATATGGATGCATGTATTTCGCACATCTTCTTTCTCTTTCTTTTCCTCTTCAGCGATTACCTACAGCTACAACTACAATTTCAACTACACTACTATTATAATTATTATTACTATTATCTTCTACTATTCACTCTTCACACTGTCATCACCCCTCACACAACTAGACTCAAATCATCTACATAGATTGGAGTTCTCACCATAATTGCCATTTATCTATCAACAAACACAAACTTGATAAATATAGCAAATAAAATGGGTAAGACTAGGGAACTCTGATGAATTCATATCTCAATATCTGTAATATTCTGTCTCATTCCATCAAAAAGCAACTGAATAGTTCTTTTTGACATGAAATAGATAACTTATTTAATGAGAGACTTTAGCATTCTCAGTTCTATCAAAGTTTTGATCAAAACACAATCAAATGCATCTTTTATATTAATAAACATTGCAGTTATAACCATTTTTTCATTCTTTGCAAGTTGAATATCATAAATTACAGAGAGAATTCTATCAATTGCTGAGTTTTGCTTTCTACTTTTCATCTGATCATCATATAATAAATCAGTAGTAGTAGATAGAAAAGACAATCTAGTTGCAATTATCTTTTCCAGAATTTTTCCCAGACAATTCAGAAGAGATATCACTCTATAAGATTTAAAAATAATTAGCTTTCTACTGAGTTTTAACAGAATAACTCCAACAGCATGCTTCCAGCATTTAAGATGATACTCATATTTCAAAAGATTTGAGAACAATTAAAAGAGCTCATTTTTTAGTATTAAACAAAGCTTTTAAATTATTAAATGATTTATAATATCAACTTCTGCTGCTGTGATCTTTGAAGATGAAAAAATAGCTTTCTTTAATTCATCTTCAGTTAAATCAAATCATTTCCATTTCTTATCATATTCATATTCATTATCTTCTTGCAAAGAATAAACCTCAGTTGAATTATTTGATGATGGAAATAATATTTTCATAAAAGCTGGACATTTATCTTTAAATGAGCTAGCTATAATTTCCTCATTCTGAAAGTTATATGTTAATGTTTGTAGTTTAAACATTGTTTTTGACTTTGTATATCTGAAAGCTTTGAAGATCTCTTTTCCCTGAGCATTTTTTAAAAAGTTATTTCAACAATCAGTCTTTGCTTTTTTAATTGTTGAGAAATAATCATTTCTAATATTCTTTAAATACTCAAATGAGGCAAGACTACGTGGCTATTCCACGCAGGCTGCACCTTAAGCTAGTTACATATTATAACCTCTATAACCAACCGACCACCGCGTCTGTCCTCTCGGGCCGCTTTAACTAGTTCTGGCTCTTCCAGCTGGGGGTCCTAGTTAAGCGCCACCGCCCACTCTAGGCATCATCATAGCCTTGGGCTTCCAGTTGCCGATCTCAGCCCATTGCCCCCTTGTGGCTTATCAACCAGCCGTCGTGGCCTTGCCCCGTGTAAAGGACTAACCATAAGCTTACCCCACTCAATGTTTTACCCACTAATAGTGTAGGATGACCACTAGTAGGTCTTGAAGATAGGGCGCCTACCAGGGTGTTCTGTTTGGTTTGCTACTACCTCTCTGATGAGGCAATCAATCGAATGGTTTTTAAAAGCAGCATCCCTGTCAGCACTGCCTCACTAGGTAAGCTTGGCCCCTGGTCACGAGGGCCTTCATGGGTAAGAAATGGCTTAAAATAGGACCTTGCCAGCGGCAGGATTCGAACCTACAGCACATCTAACAGTGCTACCTTGGGTAACAGTATTACCAACTGCGCCACGCGGGCAGAAAAACTGTAAACAATTTGAAATTTTAAAAATATGTTATAGTTCAGCTGATCTCTCTCAAATTGAAATATTCAATTTCACA